GTGAAAACTAACCTATCCATATTAATTACTGCTCACTCCACCCACCAAATTCCGCACACAATCTAAAGTTCACAAGGACTCTAGATTAACACTCATTTTCTCGTTTTCAAAAGAAACGAAAAAGATTTTAAACTTGTAACAAAGTCTATTCACCCCCCCCCCCTCTAGACTTTGTATTTCACCACTTTGGGACCACCAGTTCGATGGAACAAACTACTCGTATTGGAAGGAGAGGATGAGAATCTTTATCCAATCCAACGACTACAAGCTGTGGTTGATTGTGAAGAACGTCTGCGGAGTCCTTATGAAGAAAGTCGGTGAAGTCAACGTCCCCAAAACAGAAGAGGAGTTCACCGACGAAGATTGCAAAAAGATGGAGCTCAACGCAAAGGCAATAAACATGATTTATTGCGGTGTTAATGCGGATGACTACCGCAAAATCTCGCGGTGTGAAACCGCAAAACAAATGTGGGAGAAATTAGAGGTCACCTACGAAGGAACCGCTCAGGTTCGGGAGGCCAAAATTGACCATCTCACTCACGAGTATGAACTCTTTTCAATGAAAGAAAATGAGAAGATTGAGGAAATGTTTGAGAGATTCTCTAACATCATCAATCCTCTCAATCTTCTCGGGAAGACATACACCGACCGAGAGCTCGTGAGAAAGGTGCTGCGAAGCCTATCCCCCAAATGGCGTTCAAAGGTGGATGCAATCGAAGAAGGTCGTGACTTCCAAACAACGACCTATGATGCTCTTCGAGGTAATCTTATTACCTATGAAACCACACAACTCTCAAAGGTGGTTGAAGAAAGGAACAAGAGGTCTATTGCTCTACCCGCAACAACATCAACCCACAACAACTTTGATGATATAGATGATGACAGCGACGACACCGACCTCGGACTCTTTGTCCGAAAATTCAAGAAGATGATGCTCAAGAAGGGAGCTAAGAAGAACACTCCACCCAAATGCTATGGGTGTGGTGAAATAGGACACATCAAACCAATGTGTCCAAAGCTCAAGAACGAGAAGGACAAGAGGGCACCGAAGAAGCAATGTGCCTACATTTCTTGGGAGAACGACGGCTCCGGGAGTGAAGACTCGGAAACGGAGGAAGTGGCCAACTTGTGTCTCATGGCCATTGAAGATAGTGATACATCAAAAGAGGTAAGTGATCAAGAACCTTCTCCCAATGATCCTTTAACTCTTAATGATGTTGTTTGTGTTAGACAAGGCGTGCAACTCTAGAGGGGGGGTGAATAGAGTTGTTGAGAATGTTTACCGATTTTCGCAGGATTAATAATATAAACGTAAGTGCAGCAGAAATAAAATAGAGAAGGGAAAGAACACACCGATGTATACTGGTTCACCACCTCGTGGCTAGTCCAGTTCCCCGAGAGACTCTCTCGAAGCTACCACTACTTCCGTTAAGCTTACGGGTGCTTAACAAACCGTTTACAACTCGAGAACTTGAATCCCACAAGCCTCGACACAACCGCTCGTAGATATGCCCTCTACAAG